GCAGGCTGATCACTAGGGAAATATATGTTGTATGATCCAACACAACATCATATCATATCTGGGAACAGCATTAGCAGTGATCCCTATTTAGGGTTTCATCATTTACAATTGCTGAAATGACTGACAGCCTGCATGTGTTTTTAGATCAGATTTTTGTATCGTGAACCAGTGGGCAAACACATTTAGCTGTATCACACTACACAAACTATAGAGTATATTAATGGGACATATTTGGCAAGAGATTGTGTGTGCAGCCTTGTTACTTAAACTAGGATATTAATCTGTTAAAGGTCTAACACACAGCAACTTGACACTGACTTGCTCTTCTCAGAGATATCCCATATCATTTGTATCTAACAAGGGTTGTTCTTCCTTTTAATGATTCACCACTTTTTGTTGTATTATCAATATTAATTTGGCTGTCTCCATGAAAATACTTTAGCTATACTGGGCCTTTCACCATTTCACTACAGGCACAGAAAAGCCCCCTGGCAACATCTGAGAGGCTCTCTTTCTTGTCTACTTCATTTCTGCTTGTTTGAAGACATAAGTGACCATTGCTCAGTTTGCAACAAAAATGAAAAGGAAATTTGTGAAAAGGACGAAACATATGTTTTTCTAAATTGTATTTTTGTGACTGGCAAAGGGGAAACTTTGCGATTTACTAATACTGAGTCACATGGAAATGAACTAGGTCACTCCCCAACATATCTTTCTTCTCCTCATGTAGAGGTAGCATATAATCTTCATCGTGGTTGTTACCTGCAATCAAAACAGAAGGGACAAGAAAGAAAATAAGAAAACAGGAAAGCAAAAAATGCTTAGTCCTGTTTCATTTAGCCTGTTACATGTATTTCTAGTGTTTGTATAAACCTTCTTCCACTTTTTAAGGTATGTACCTCTGAGAATTACAAAGTGAATATCTCTATTTTCTTTATTACTTGAGTTATTTTATAGCAAACATTCCAGTTGCTTTCTCTCTGTGCTCAAAAACAGCTTAAAATATTCTCTGTGAAGTCTGATGATGCCGATTCCATCAGGATCTCATTAAAACAAACAAATCCAAATCATCACTTAAAATTGATGCTTTCCATTAGAAAAAAAGAAACTCTGAGACTTGGAGTTCAGAGTCTTCTGCTTATTCCTTAAGTTATAAAGGTATTCCTACTTTCTTAACTTCAATCTTTAACACGTCTGGCTGGTTTTTCCTTTCTTTTTACATGATGCAGATCTTTGAAACATCTTTAAGATAAGGATTACATCTTTCTTTTTTAGCTTGTCTGAGGCCAAGTTAACAAATGCCATAATCATTCCAGAGTATTCTTTATGTCCTCCCTGCAGTCTGTAATAATAAAGTGATCTCTCTACCTCAGAGGACCTGGCAGCTCTTCTGCCTTTGTCTTCTAACTAGTCCTCCATCATTGATTTAGGCTTCCCTTTATAGGGACCACTCTTCAGTGGTTCTGAGTGAAGTATGACCTTGTCAGACCAGCCCCATCCATTTACTATATAAAATAGCTAGAATGCCAAGAACTCCAGATCCATTTCAATACAAAGTACAGCAGTTTCTCCAGTACGTATTTATTTGCTTAAATTAATACAATACTTCATACATGCTTTTACTACTGAGATAGAAAGCCAGAAACTAAATATTCACAGATAGTTGGTCCATTTTTTGAATTGGGGCTTTAAATAGGAACCCAGTGTTCTATGTGAAATAAATATACACCACATTATTTGCAAAATCTGTTAGAAGTACAAAATGTTAGCTCTGTTACATCTTGTTCAGCTAAGCAGACATGACTTATTTTCAAAACTGTTAATAATTATTAAAAACTTCTTGGAATAATAAATATAGTACTTATATTACTTCTTAACTGTACACTCATAACAGCAGAGTCCAGCAGCACCATATGAAGAGAGAAATCGGAGAATAGCTAGTAGACCAACACAGAGGTGTAAAAAGGTGGGTGCAGTAGCATTACTTGTTCCCCAGTAACTTGTTTTATAGGACACAGCACAGGATAAACTTCTATTATAATATTATCATAAAGTGTTTTATCCTTTGAGCTGCTGAACACAGAACACCTGTCTTTGCCTTCACAGGCTGGAGGCTGCCTGGCAGCCAGGAGAACTCAGGTTCACAAGGAGATGGCTGAGTCCTGGTGGCCAGACTCAAAACAGCTTGTTCCGGGGTTACTTACAACTTCACTTTCTCAGTAAATACGTTGTATTTATTTACCCTCAAGATTTACTAACCAACTTTTGACCTTTCATCCACCTACTCTGCTATGTACAGTGTCTTGCAGAATTCTCCCTGCTGCCCTTAACAGCAGAAAAGCCTCTAATTTAAGAAACCACATGCCTTCACTTGCCCAGACTCATTACGGTGTGGCCAGTTTACCTTTCCTCAGCACGGCTTCTTGAAGCATCTCCATTTGTATGAGTTTGGAAAGCATCTCGGTTGTATGCGTTTACGGCCACTCTTATTTGCTCTGATGCTCTCCAAGAGGATGAAGCTAGGCTTCATATAATAATGCAGGCAAATGGTATAGATGTGATTTAATATAGAGGTGGTGGAGACTGGGCTTTAATTTCATGTGTTACCACAAGCTGAAAACCCAAATAACAGAGAAGAGTCAAATACATTTTTTTCCACAACGTAGCAACAAGAAAGTAAACAGACTCAGATTAGGAAGGAGGAAAAAAAGAAAATGTGTCTCCCAACATCCAGGACACAGGCAATGTCTCTACAGGACTTCTGAGCCTCTGTTCAAAGCAAAACAAGGAAGCTAATCCCTGGAAAATTAGAAATGGGAAATAACTTAATTATGAGAGCAAATTTCTATAAAGCATTTTGAAACCTATTAAAAAGCAAAGGCTGTTACTGTCTGTTCCCCAAATGGTGCCAACGTAAATAGCGTGAAAATAACTTATGTTTGAAAAGCAAGGTGCTTCACAATGAAGGCTGTTATTTCACTTTTAATTTGTCCCTTGGGGCCTCTTTGTAATAAGTGTCTTAGACCCAGCTGCATTATGTTCTGCAGTAAGGAGGACTATCATCTCCTAATCTCTTTGCTTGGGTCATTTGGCACTGTCTACTTATCTCAGTAATAGTTTTGTTTGCAATTCCTCTTACTGGTGACTTACGGTTTTGGATGAATTCTTTACTATTCTAACACGAATTAGCCTTGGGTGTTTGTGAATTAGCCTAGTATGACTATGCGACTGGGCACAGTCTCAAGGCTTCATTGTAATGGAATATTCTCTGCTTTCTAGGAAAAATGTAATAAAAGGGATTCACATTACAAATTATTCCCAAATAGCATTGCCATTCTGGGGACCTCTACTACTTTCCACCTGGCTGTATGTGGCTGGCAGTTGCTTTTGCTCCAATGAGAAGTGGGATTGTAGAAGTAGATAAATTGGCTGCAGTGACTGTGTGGTTGAAAGTGTTTGGGTTAACCATTCAGACAACCCAGAACTGTTTGCAGTGATTTCCTTTCCTAAGAACACGTCTGGCACTTTCCCTTACAAGGTCTGTAAGGGAACTCTGGAGTGCATTCTTCCAGTAGACCTAATTTTTTTGGTTACGATGTTATCTACTGGGAGCTGAGCTCTCCTGAAAATGTCTCCTTTGCTTCATTTGCCTGGAGTGCTGTTGATACATAATCATTTGTCTCTTTCTTGATAAGGGTTGGCTAGCTGTCCCATAACACTCTCCAATGCATAGACAACAGAGCTTTGCAATGGAAGGGCTGCATGCCTTTCTGCTTTACCCACCAAAGTAGTGAAGGGACTTGCTACGTTCAACTCATCTGCATGATCACCATTCTAGAAATTGCAACCAGGTTCCTGATTCCTTGCTTATTCCTTTTATCATATAACTAATATGGCTGCAAAGGTGGAGTGGACTGCTCTTGAATCATGCACAGCTGGAAACTACACCACCTTGAAAGAGACATTTCTCAGTCAGTGGCTGGATCCCAGCTCTTTGCTATATATGTTCTCAAATCGGAGCTTTTGTCTGGCAGAGACAAGATATTGCCAAGAAGGTAACTGAAGGACTTGTTCCCGTTTCTGAGAGACAATCTCCTAGACCATGCCAAATTTCTACCTGATAGTTTCCCCTCTAGTCTAAGAAAGAACGCAGTTACACACATTACTCTGAAATTTTTCTGATTCTTCTGCTTGACCACAATGTCTTCCTTGAAAGAAAGATGGCTCCTTTTTCAAGAGGAGTTATCTTGCAGTGGAAGCAAGGAAGTTGAATGTATATGATAAAACAGTTCATCACTGAAAAAACATGGCTATGTACCTCTGAAATACACCTCATTTTGAAAGACATTAATTCTAGGCCTACATTCCACTTCAATTTGGTATAGCCTTTTTATTTTAAAAATGTACACCAGCTGTAGAGTTAATTACATTTAGAAGAGTCAACTCTATGTTACAGCTTCTTTATGAACAGCTTTTTCTGCTCTTCATCCAGAATCTTTATTATGCCATGTTTGAGCCCAGAAAAATGAAACCACCTTCTGCAACCTTGGACTACACAAACCCAGTTTTATATGATGAATAAGGGCTGCTGCCCTGTGAATGCTGATTAACTGGTAGGCGTAAGAATCATTAGTTCTGTAAGGTGAGTGGTTTCTTATAATTGCAGAGAGCTGCAGCTACATGACTCTAGCCTTAGCAAGCCATAAGTATATGACTATATTTAATTCTAACTTGCTATATATTGAGCATGATAGCAAGGTATTTCAAATCAAGAACTTGGCAGGTAAGTGAAGAAGGTAGTAATATTTGGAAAAGATGCACCATATATGTGGATTTTAACCTTTTGAGCTGGGATGTCAGAATGACATAGGACTAGTTAAATGACTTATTAAATCTTTATTTCCTTATAAGCAATAGGATGGTGTGGGGCTGTTTGTCGTCTACCTTGAAGATGCAAAAATCAAGGTGCTGGACAAACTATTCATGCAATTAAAGGAATGTGCTTTTAGCATCTTTGTTACAAACATATAATTGTATGGGAATCAGAGGATGAAAAGTTGTGAAAGACTTAGTAAAAACAGCTTGAGTGGAATTCTTCTGAAAGGCCTGGAGCTTACTGGTCAAGCCATGTTGATAAAGGAAAATTCCTGCCTCTGATAAGAGGAAATCCAAAAACAGTTTTCCTCTGTGAGGTACTGCTTGCCCTGTAAGGGCTCTTTTTTTGGCATACTTCTGAAATAAAATCTGATCAGACCTGTGTATTTCAAAATCATCCTTGCTAGCCAAGATAAACTGAAGAGATAAACAGCAAAATTGCATCATTTTCTCAATGAAATTACTCGTATTGTTTTATGTGTAATTACAGCCAGACTTGCAAATGCTACGCATTGCTGCTGCTCATTAGATGTATTAGTCTGAGCAGACAGTAGAACAAAATGTCAACACAGTCCATGCTATTTCACCTGAAGAATTGCTGAATACTCCCATACTGACTGAAACACAGCAAAGCACGGACATCCCTCTGACATGTGCCAGAGGAAAAGCTTCTATGACCGTAATAAATTCCAGTCCTTTCAAAGCCTGACAGAGCTACCCTTCACTATCTCACAAGACATTAGTATTTCTTCTTAATTTGTTTCCCATTTCTCATTGTAAGTGGTTGAACTAACAGTCACTTCAGTAAATGAAAGTATTCGGACTGTGTTAGTTCTGAGAGTGACAGCACTTTCATGCACACCGTGTTTAATAGTACTTTTGTTTATACTGTGAAATACTTAGTATTTTCAGATTTTTTTTGAGACATGGTTAGAAGTATTCATATATATTTAGTCAGGTAATAAATCAAACGCTAAAGTATGTTGCTTTTTGATAACTAGAAAATTGCGTATAAGTCTCTACCACCCCAGGTAAAGGAAAATAAACTTCTGTACCTACCCCATTGTCTGCTTATACATCAAATGGATAAGTATAAAAATGTTATTGTTCAATATCTATTGCATGTCTTGGTGACCTTGGACTGCTTTATTCTTTTAATGTACGTGTTTTACCTTAAATTATTTTTATTAATTTGGCTTGTTTATTTCTAAAGACTACTACAAACTTCCAGGCTTTGCTAAATTACAGTTCATGTTAAGAGCTATCTGGTTCCCATTTTCCAGCTGTTTGAAAATGTCCATTTTAAATGTCTATGAGCATTGTTTGTTTTTCCATTTTTCTTTCCAGCAATTCTTTCAAACTCTTGTTCCTGTGTTTGAAATACAAATAATCAGAGAGAGAGTGGCCAAGTCTGGCCTTTTCAAAGGATCTAAGGCTGAGGTGTTTGTTGTTTGCAAGGTCTCTCTCTCCCTGGCTCTCCTGTTTGTCTGAATTTCCTGCTCTCTTCTCCAGTCCTCCCTCACTTCGCACTTCTTCCTTCTCATTGCAGTAGGACTCTCTGAAGTCCTTCATCATGCACTCAGGCTTGCCAGACAGATCTTGAGCCACGTACAGCTTGTTGTCATCGTGGTGGTATATGTCAGGGCTATACCGTTCTGCCTCGTAGCAGTTATCTTCCTCTTCTTCCTGGCATGAGCTTCCCTTGGCACTCTCGCCATCCGAATGAAATGAGATTCCCTTCCCTTGGCTTTTCTGGGAAAGATCAAAGGGCTCTTCCTGTTCCAAGCTTCTCAAGACATTTGTCTGGGACAGAGCAATTCTTCCTCTTCCAAAACCTTGTAGTGGTTTGAGGGGAGGAGAAAAGAAACAATTTATATATAGGAAATTTTACTATGTGATACATGGTTAAAAAGCAATACATGAGGCAGCCTTCTATTTCATACCTTACCTTTGTCTTCCACCCAGATATCTCCAAGTACTTTACTGCTTACATCTCATGGCATCTCCTTTGAGACGCTGTTAAAAAAAGTACTACTGTATACACTTCACAGCCAGGTCAGGACACACAAAACATTGTGCCGTACCTGCCAGACACTTGATGAGGGAGCTAGGAATAAAAGTGAAGTGGCCTGGCCTCTTGTAAACTATTTTTGCCAGTGAACCTACCCACTTCCTCCTTCCTATTTTTTTTTAAATGAAAACATTGATCTAAAGCATCACAGGCCATAACTGAAGTCCCAGGTTTTGTACTTTTTTTTTTTTTCTCAGAGGAGTGGAAGAGATGCAAAACATGTTAATGTGTTTGTTCTATGACACTCTGGTTCAAAGTTACTACTTCAAAAATGAAAAGACAACCAAGTCTCAGCAGTCTATGACCTCCATGCTCCTTAATTTTTCCTCTTTCGTCCACTGAGAAGCCACTCATGCCACTGAAAAGCTCTATGCACTAGATAGTGCTTCAGCTTGAGGAAATAATTATAAACAAATGATGATTTTGAGCGGTACGGTATAAGTTCGAGTGTAGTCCTGGATCTGGTTTGTCTTAATATTTGTCAGAGTGTCTCCTCTCACGCTGGAAATCCAGGTGTTACCCAGGAGACATCTGTGGACTCAAATACGCTCTGAGCATCAGGATGCACCAAAGAAGATTCAGACACTGCAGGCATAGTCCATCTTAATTAAAAGAATAGTGACAGTACTGCGGTGAGGATTTCACCCAATAGCAAATATCTAATAGCAAACTTGCTTTGTTTTTATTTGGTTTGGTTTGGTTTGGTTTTTTCCCTGCTGAATTGAATCCAGTTTCTGCAGGACCTGTGCAGCCTCACTAGATACAGCTGCTACTTTGCAACAGGTTGTATTTATTAAAATGGTTAATGAGCAGGTGGCAGCCCTTACAAATTGTCTTGTGTCTGATGACCCTCAAGGGCTGCAGAATCTCTGTACACTGAAAAGCTCTTAGGCTGTCCTCAATTACAAGTAATTGTGTAACTAGCATGGTGCTGTAGGAGACTCACAGGAAAAAAAGAGCTATTTATTTCATTACTTGTTAGGATCTTTGTAAATTTTATGCCAAATATCATTAGAGTATGTGTTTTACTTACATATTAGGCTGCCCTAAAGCTTGAATTTGAGGAACACCAAGAAATCTTACCCATGAAAGAATTATTTATCCAGAAAGTCTTAATAAACAAAATCTCTTGAATACTCAAACTCTGAAAACAATCCTAATTCCCCCACTTCTTTAGATAGCATTGGCATGTGTGCACACATGAGGCTGTCTTTAGGAAGTGTATGTAGTAGGTGAGAGATAAGAAATGCTTTGCAGGGTACCCTGGGTAGTCAAAAATCCATATACTTTGAGATGGGGGAGGAGTGTCTCCTGTTCACATGCTTCTTTGTAAACTAGGTCTTGAGCTTATGGCCTTTGCCTAACGTCAGCTATGTCAACATGGTACAGAATAACCAAAGCTTCTGGACTAGAGCCATTCAGGCTTCCATTCCCATTCCAGAGTGGAATCCAAAAGTAGTGAGCAAGACCCATGAAATCTTCTGGATTTTTTGGTTCTGTCAGCTTTGAATGAATTTATGATTTATGATGTACCTCAAACATGACAGAAAAACTATAAACTCCTGACCAGATGTGTCTGGGGAAAAATGTCTGCTTGTCCATGGCTGCTAGGCTGTGGTCTGTCAGCCTCTGGGAATCAAGCCCCTTGAAACAGTAACATTTATTCAAAAATAATGGAACTACACCTTCAGTTAGGAAGATCATGTCATCCGGTCATTCCCCTGGCCAACTACATGTGCCACAGCCTCACTAAGGCTGAGTCTCCACCAGCTCGCTCCCATTTGTGTCTCGGGGTACCCACATGCTGGGAGAAGATCTGCGGTGCTGTGGATATTGCACCTCCTTACAGTGATGGATGGGGATCCCTGGGCTTAAGTACAAGAACACTTGGTATGGCTTGATAAATCCTCTGCTCTCACACTACTGACCATATTCTCCCTAACACCTGACAACAGCAACTTAGTGTGCTAAAATTATTTCCTTTGTGTTCATAAATACTGTCTCATTTTGTCTCCATCTACTCCTCCATCTCAGTCTGTACCTCTGTGTCACCAGATATCTGGTCTGAAAGGTTTCTGAGATAAGGGTCACTACCTTGGGGATCTCTGATCTGTAGCACTGGAGTAATATAGATAGTTAATAACAACCTCCTAGGCTTATGGGATTCAATCTCTTCAATAGCATTGGATCTATGGTACAAGACTGTGGATCTGTGGTACAAAGCCCATTTGGGTTTACTGATACGCATCTTCCAATCTCTCAGAATAACCGTGCTGAAAAATATTACCTTGAGAATGAAATCCTCTTTCCATGACCCCATGTTTGACTTTCATGTGCCTGGTTAGGTTCCCCTTCAAGGTGAATTTACTGGGACAGTAGAGGCACTTGAAAGGCTTACTGTCCGAGTGCAGGTGCATGTGTCCCATTAAATTATGCATTCTGTTAAATTCCTTTCCACACAGCTGTAAAAACAGTAAAAATGAAAATTATTAGTTTGAAGGGGTACTTCCAAGGAGAACATTTTAAAAGGAAATAGGACCTAGTCTTCTTAACTTGAGGCCTGGCAGCTTCTGGCTGCCATTTGTTTTTCAAAGATACCTGCAAAAATCCTACAGACAAGAATATGTGGTTGAGTCTGATCTATCTAGGGCCTTCTGCATTGCTGCCACTTTTTAATTTGGTGACTAGGACACACAGTCAAGGATTCCCCAAAAGCAGGGAATGTTGTTGTAAGGAGGGGAGAGGCTTAAGTGTGTAACCTGGAAGGCTCTTAACCGGAATGAAATTCAAAGTATAACTTTCTGCCCTGGTGAACCATTTCATTTGTAGTTTATAAATCTAGCTTTAATCAAGAACAACGCCAGGCAGAGATGGAGATACAAAATAAAACCAATGAAAGGTTTCTGTGAAACAGTCAAGCAGAATATTACTTCTCCTTAAGTGGAAATTAAATGGCTGTACATTTTGCTTAAAGCTAGAAAAAGCAATTCCTTTTTTTCTTTGTTTCTTGCTCCCCCATTTTTCTCTGATCCTCTTGTCTTCTGTTTACCAACTTCTTTGTTTCAGTGTCTCTGGTGAGTAAGCTGGAATTTAAACAGTCATGGGACTGCAAGAATGACTCAGCTTTCCCTGAAGCACATTCCTGCCAGCTCCAGCTATTGATCGTGCAAGTTTCCCTTTGATGAAACAATAAGGGTGTTTTTTTCATTGTTGTTGTTTATCTAGATGGGTCCTTTTGTAGTCTGGTCCCTTATAAATCAAATGTATTCCCAAGTCATGAGAGTTTGACATCACTATTATGGGCTTCTGGTCTTACTTGTCTTCTGGTCTTTCCTTATCAGGACTTATAATTTTATTCACATTCAAGTGGCTATTTCCATGCTCTGCAAACTTCTGTGTTTGCTTTCTACTTCATCTCCTTTTTTTGGAATGGTTTTAGACAAAGACTTTCACCATCAGATTTTATTTTTTTTATGATCTTTATTACTATATGAGCCAGAATCAGCATTACTGAGTAATTGAAATTTCTATCAAGCGGTGTACTCAACTGGGAGACAATTACTAAAAATCAATTACTGAGATTTCACCAAATTTTTGGTCTAATCTGACTTCTGATTTAATTTATTTTGGTAGTACAGAAGGTCTGCTACAGTACTTTTTGATTCAAATTCACAAAGCCATCACCTGGGATATCTGGATGAAATGTAGATAGTGGAATGATCCTTGGTGAAATAGTACTGTTTCCTTTGTATTTTAAAGCATCTCTTGAGGGAAAATGGAAGCAGTTCATTAATGGGAAAATGGAAGCAGTTCATTAATATAAAAATTTGCAGGGGTATTGTTTTTAAACAAAAACTAGAACTGAGTCAATGCTGCAAAAATGAAGAGTCTAGAAATATTCACTTGCTTTTAAAAAAATATTTGTTTCAGCTGCATAAGTTCTCTTCCGTGATTTGCTCTCTGTGATTTTGCTAAAATGAACATTCTACTGATGATAAATAAATTTATCACCAAAGTGTTCACCAAGATGGGGGGGGGGGGGGGGGAAAAGGCCCAGAAAAGTAAGATATCTGATTCCAAGGGGCATCCATCCACGTAGGAAAGAAGACTGTCTCTTGTTTGCATTCAAAGAAAGATAGTACAGCTAATGAATTATATTCAGGGAAATGAATGCACCAAAAAACCACTCAGAAGGTGCTGGGAGGAAACAAAGAGGAGAAGCACTGATGAGCACAGAAAATTTGCAAGGAAGAACAGCAGCTGATTGTATCTTGACAGCTGCTGGAACGACCTATGACATATCAATATTTCTCTGGCTACAAGAATGCCAATAATAATATGTCTCTAATACCTCTTAGCAGAAGGCTTCTGGTTATTTGCTTGTACTGTGGCTGATCTGTATTCTCACCAGCTTTTGCTTTCTGATAGCTAGGTCTTTACTTCTCTATCTAAACTGGTAATCAGGGAAAATCAGGTTGAACAGGTGAATGGCTAGAGTACTTCATACAAATCTATATTTTTATAAGGTATTGAGTATTAAAATGGGTCTAGTAGAAGCATTTACTTTGTTTCTGTCAAGGCAACATTTATTTCTCTTTCTTCATAATGAAACGACAGGAGACTTCGTAAAGGATAGTCCCTTACAGCATAAAAGTTTTGTGTCGCTGAATAAAGCGGGTAGGTTTTCCATTTCCCAAAGTCACGCACAGTCTTAGGGATGTGCAATGTGTTCTTGTCCTGAAATCTCCTCTGGGGATATTAGGAAATGGTACTAGAGTGGAGAGGTGTGGCAGGAAAATGAAAGAAATGCAGATATGAAAATTGTTTTTCGGAATGATGGCTCTGTGTGGCATGGTCTCTGGGTAACCTATCCTTTTCAAAAGGCACAAGACGACTTTCAGATGAATGTCTGTGATCCAGAGGGTGAAGGAAACAGGTTTTGGGCTCACGTGCTGAAGACAGCAACTCAGAGCTAGCTGGGGTTCACAACTGGTGCTTAAAGAACAGCCTGAGTCTGCAGACCAAACTAGGAAGGTGTACAAGATTTTCGCTCTCTGTACAAAGCAGGGGTGTGAGCACTGATGAACAGAGTGTGAAAGATGACCCTGAGCGAGTTGAATGGGAGGGAGCTCCAGCAGAACTCACCACAGAGCACCTTAGCACCCAGGGAGATGCAAAGCTCATGCAAGAGATCTTGGAACAACATGGTTTACTTGTGGACCTTTTGTTGGTCTGTCTGCTTTAGGCAAAATAAAATTCAAGCCCTGAAGAGAAAGACCTCAGCTGCAAGCGTGCTGAACACACTTTGTTGCACTGGTTGGTGAAATCGACTTCAGTACAGTTTCCTAGAAAAGCTGAATTAGTTCAACACTAGATTTTGTCCTCCTAAGCCACCACATGAGGTATCACCCTTCTAGATTTGTCAGTCTGTTTTGTTTCTTCCCAAAGTACTTATCTCTCACATTTTGGTTTTGACTCCTGATCTAAACCCATGATTTTAGATGGGAAAAAAGTAGAGTTCAAATCATCTGCTGAGAAGTGTATTTGACTGGGCTGGGGAAAACTTCATTGCATTCTTTATTGGAGGTCTGAAACATTGCTGACTTCAGCATTAAAAGCAACTGTAAATTTCATAGACACTTCCTCTACAAATCAGAATTAGCACTATTGCACCAGTTGGTGCAACTCCTTCAGAACTCTTCAGTGTTGTTTTTTTTAAACAGAAACAAGGCAGCACAGGCTCAGGCCTTTAAATGCTACAGAGAAGTTCACTCTTCAGAGAAAAATCAAACACAGATCCCGGCTGCAGCTGGATGAGGAAACAGAAGGGACAACTATTTGCTACTCCCTCTCTTCAGATAGTCTGTGCTTAGCTGTGATTAGACACATAGGAAAGCCTCATGTTTTCTTTTGCTGTGAGAAAAAGGTAAAGAAAATCATTGCATGTGGTGAA